CTGAAGGTAAAAAAATTTTCTTTAGAAAGAAAACTTTGCGTCTTTAAAAGTATAAATAAATAGAATATAAGAATAATTTATTTAATAAATATTTATTAAAATAGGAGCCTGTATAACTTCCTTTATAAATGCTTGTATAAATTAGTAGATAAAAAGCCAGTCTAAATTATTGCAATGAAAGTAAAAGCCTGTATAAATTGTCACAGTAATAAAAGACTATAAATTATTCAAATATCAACAATATAATCTATGGACAAATTATTAAAATTTATTTAATATTTAATAAAATTAAATTCTGTATAATTTAGCACAATAAAAGCCTGTACAAGTTCCTAAACAAAAAGTTAGTCTAAATTATCGCAATAACAATAAAAGCCTGTACAAGTTCCTAAACCAAAAGCTAGTTTAAATTATTATGATAACAATAAAAGCCTGTACAAGTTCCTAAACAAAAAGCTAGTTTAAATTATTACAATTACAATAAAAGCCTGTACAAGTTCCTAAACAAAAAGCTAGTTTAAATTATTACAATTACAATAAAAGCCTGTACAAGCTCCTAAAAAAAAGCTAGTTTAAATTATTACAATAACAATAAAAGCCTGTACAAGCTCCTAAACATAAAGCTAGTTTAAATTATTACAATAACAATAAAAGCCTGTAAACATTTTCACAGTCATAAAAGAATCTACAAATTCTTAAAATAGAAATAGAAATTATTGTAATAAAAGCAAAATTATAACTGTATTGAAATCCTTTATAAATTATTAAAAATAAAAGCAGTATAAATTAACATGAGAATAAAAACTGTAAAAAACAAACTTTAAAACCGTACAAGCAAGTTACAAATTGTAAATTAAAAGCCTATATAAATTATTACAAAAAATAAAAGCATGTATAAATTACTGCAATAATAAAAGACTAGGAATTACTACAATAAAACTCTGTATAAATTACCACAATAAAAGCCTATCTAAATTTCTATGACAATAAAAGTCTGCATAAATAATTGCAATAAAGATAAAAGCCAGTACAAATTACTGCAACAATAAAACTTGTAAAAATTATTGCAATTGAAGCCCCCATAAATTACAACAATAAAACACTGTATAAATTATTACATTAAAAGCCTGTTTAAATTACCGGAACAATAAAAGCTTGAGATCTAATTTGCCTTAACTGACACAGCCATGAAGCTTTGCTGATTACCATGTATCTAAACATAATCTTTTTTTTCCGAAAGTAATAAGTTTTTTACTTATTAATCCAACATATTTTTATCACTTTAAACGTTATTTTTAGTGGATGCTCATATTTGAGTAGACGCTCCGTTTATTTATTAAACAGTATATTTATTTATTTTTGTCTATTATCACAATATACACCTAAGTAATTAATTGCAACAATAAAAGCCTGTATTAATTAGCACTATAATAAAAGTTTAATTTGTCCAAGATTGTATCACCTAAAGTTTACTGATATCAAGATTCTTTAAGAAATATTAATGATTCTAAATCATTTTTTTCTCTTTGTTTTTGCTTCTTTGTTTCCTTCAAACTCTAACATCCGGTTCATAATAATAGGGATAGGTAATAGAGATAAAGTTCAAAATATTTGACCCTGGGCTTAAACATGGTAAAGGAAATGATACATATGAGAGTCAATGGACAGATAGTACTTCATTCTATAAACAAAGTATTTCTATAGTAAAATTTATTTACATATTGAAGGCACTATGACTTAATGAGGGTAAATCAAAAAGTAAAGGCAATTTACATGCAACACCTTTATTGCTATTGATAAAGAACAAATGCATATGTCACCTTGCAACATAGATCTCCTGCAAGGCAATGCACTTCTGGTATTGTTAAACATGCTTCTTTAACCCTTCTGAAAAGAAGCTTTTTGGTTGCTCAGGAAGCTATGTCTGTGACACTTACTTTTTTTAATCACCCAACAGACACAAACTCTATGGTAGCCCAAGTGGCTGAAGAATAAATGCGATACTCACCTTTGCAGGAAGGTTCCAAACTAGCATCCAGTTGGCAGACAGGATTGAGTGAGCAGTAATTCAACACAGGTCTGTATTCAAGCAGACATAATGGTGAATGATGGATATTTATCTATCACAATATCCACACTGGAACCAGCAGCCAACCAGGACTCAGAGAATAGGATTGCCTAAGTGGCAGAATAGAACATTCCAGCTTGCTCCATATACTAGCTGTTCTAGCCTCTGGGTACTGGAGAGCTTGCAATACAGCTTTCAACTGCTAAACCATAAGCACGTTGGTTTTGTTTGCGGGACCCATATTCAGTTATGGCCCAATTTATTTTTCATCTGGCAACTGGGCCCCAGTTGCAACTTTCTGTAGCAGAAATCTGCATATGTAGACTATGCCTAAGAAGTGTTTCTTTTTATTTGACTTTTTATATTGCTTTGCGTTTGCCATCATTGTTCTGTTTGGATTGTCAACTGTTTGTTTGAACATATCATGGTGGGGGCTTCCCAGGAAAAAGAGCTGTTGGCCACAAATCCAGTGACTCCATCAACGTCTGCTTGGATTGCAGAAAGGCACAAGAAAGGGTCAGGGTACTACAGCCACCTGAGAGAATAATATAGCAAATATATCTCAAGAAATAAACTGATTGCAGTACCGTCAGTGATGGTGATGTTCACCACTAGAACCATCTCCCTGTTGACAACAGATGTAAAAACCCAAAAATTTATTGCCGTCAATAGGGAGATAATGGAAGAGGCCCTTAAGGCCTTAAACATTGCTGCCAAAGTGTTGGCCCGCAGATCAAATGCCCTGTGGAACATCTTGCTGGCAACAGAGGAGGCAGCTAAGGCATTGGCTGGCAACGTCCTTACCACCAAATCCATCTGTCTCCAAACAGAATACATGGGTGCCAGGAAGACCAGGATCACCTAACACAGGGTGCCCATGTACATCCCCGAGGACCATCTAGGGGTCTGTTTTTTGATATACAGACTGGCGGATGAGGTTTCCACAGTGAAAGAGAAATCTGGCTTCGCCGCAAGTGATGTTGAACTGATGGTGACTCTAACCAGGAAAAATTTTAATGACATCCCAAATGTGCTCACATGTGGTGGGTGAAACATTTATGTAGTGATGGAGGGGCGCTGTACTCAAATACTGGTTTTGCAGTGCCACGGAGCACCTTGTGTGAAACTGTGTCCTGGAAAGAACCCAGCACTGCAGATGCAATTATTAAAGGAGCAACCCAAGGAGGAAGCACCCAAGAAGGCACCTAGTGGTCCCAGTGAGTGGACTGAGGTGGTAAGAAAGGGACTGAAGATGGCAAATCCACCTCCCCAGCAGGATGTCCCCAGCAAAGAAACTGCTAAGCGATCAGAAAAGCAGCCGAAACAACAGGTGAAGCAGCAGCAGCAGAAGAAGCAGCAAGAGCAGCAGCAGCCGGTGTGGTAACAACAGCAGTGGCAAGCCAAGGAAAAGAGGGACAAACAGGAGCAAAGCAGCATTTGGAACAGCAGGTCGTGGAGGAGTTGCCTCAGCTGGACCTCTACATGGAGGTGGAGGAAATGCGTCCTCTTCAGTCCTCATCATTGAAGAGGGGGAGTGATGAAGAGGAGGAAGAAGACATTAAAAGCACAAAAAAAGGAAAAGAGATTTAGTCGGAGTAGAGCAAAGAAGGCCCTCATAGAAACCAAATCCTAATCTGCACCTGCTTCATCCACAAGAATGGATCAATTTCAAGGTAAGGCAAGGAGCCTACCTTCCTCCCCCTTCTAGGGCTCTGGTTTCCCCCTCTCCCTCCCTCACCTCTTCGCAAGACAAAGAAAAGAAGAAAAAGACTTTCCTCAAGGAGGATAAACTGTGTACAATAGATAGGTCCGCTCTCAATAGGGATTTTCCTCACAGAGGCAGGCCCTTTTGAGATCACTATTTAAATGTGCTTCTGTGGATTTGCCATCCACAGAAGACCCCTGTAATTTTCCGGATGCTCCTGGCATCATCACATTCATAAAAAATATGGGTGGTGGCCTAAATGTATGGGAGCATCTAGATGCTGCAAAGGATGTATTCACAAAAATCCGGATGGTCTAGTTTGAGGCCCTGAATCTACAAAAGATGTCAAAACTATGTTCAGGGTGGGTCCCACTTCGACTCCACCCCTCTTTATATAGGGCCTTAAAACTCAAATACCTGATGGACCTCAGTGGTATTGTCTCTGGTGGTTGAATTATGATTTATATAGGAACCGTTTAGACTATTTGGACCATAGACTCGTCTGTGACCTAATGATGTTGGGTACAAAGCCTAGAATCACTGGACACTGGAAATTCAATCTGTCCTTGCTGGACAGGTGGAACTTCCAGCGACAAATGACTAGGTTAGTGCAGTGGTAATTAGTGGAGGTGGTTATTGGGAGTAGGTGGTAGGAAAGAATTAAGGACAGGATTAGGTCCTTCACCACTGAATATAGCCAATGACTTGCTCTAGATAAGGCTAAAAAGGTGACAACTCTAGAGGATACTTTGTAATGGGTGATGACTGGGGGGGGATTCCCTCGAGATAACTGTAGCTAGGCAGGCCCTGCAGCATGAGGCTAGCAAGCAGTACCAGGATCAGGTAGGTATAGGTTAAACAAGATGTCTAACAAAGCTGTGAACATGGGTGCAGAATTGCGTAAGGAAAAGATCTGTCGAGGTTCTGACTAATATATTTGCGAGGTGTGTACCCTGTGCACGACCAAGAACATGCGCAAGGTGTTTTGGCAGCATTTTGAGATCCATTTTACCAGGAAGCCTGGTCTCTGTGGCAATGAGATTCATAGCTATTTGGCTGACTTTCCCCAGCTTGCACTGATTGAAGCCGCTAGTTGCGAGGGTAAGATCACAGAGGGTGAAGTTCACTTGGCATTGAAGAGGGTCGGCAGTGGCATGTCTCCAGGACTTGATAGTCTTACCCACTAATTGTACTTGAGGCTGTCACATATCTTTGTTCTGATTTTGA